CGTAATCGCTGCCCAAAAACCTATTCGCCCCTCACCCCGTACAGGAACCAGAAGGGCGTGGTTTCGGAGACCTGCTCTCCCGTCGACCGTGTACGTGGCGGACGGGATGGAGTCACCGGCGGCAGCAGCAGCAAAGGAACGACGGTGGGCGTGCGCGTGAGCAGATGTGATCTGTTCGTGGCGGCTAGGGTTAGGAGACACCGCATACTTATAGGCGCAGCCGCGTGGAGAGACGTGGGCTCGACCCACGTCCGAGTCCGTGACAGCCCACGATCCGACGTCTCAGATCGTGGCCCAGCTGTCAGAAAACTCTCCGTTAGTGACTGGCAAAAATAAGCCGCAACCCGCGCCGCGCCGCGACGCTAGGCGGGCGGCGGAGGAGGAGTGCGCGAGGGCCTCTTCTCTTCTCAAGCTCCAATAGCATGTAGAAGAGAAACCCTTATAAACCACTCCAACTCTCCTTCCACTTCCGGGGTGGGACTAAACTTCCCACCACACCTAGTGCCATATAACCCACATGGGCCCTTAGAGATTTTTCAGAAATTGCAATATGGGCCTAGAGCCCATCTCAGATTTCAGCATAATTTTCCAAGCAGGGACACAGAGACGGCGGAGATGGCGCAGCAGCTGCGGGACAGCCCTGACCTGGCTGGTTTCCAGTTCTACAAGCTCATGGCTGCCGGAACGTCCTGGGAGAAGCTGGTGATTACTTGCACATGCATGACTGTGCTCTCCTAGCTAGTTCATTAAGCACGAGCTCGTCTCTCTCCCGTCTCTCTGCTTACTGTTTCTTGCCGCCCGTCTGAACTGCAGGTGCTGCCTGACAAGTTCGTGAGGGAGCTCAACGGCCGAGCGCTCCGGGACGTGAAGCTGCGGGTCGAGGGCGGAGGGGCGCGCGCGTGGGACGTGGAGGTCGTCGCCAACGAGTGCGGCGACATGCACCTCGGCAGGGGCTGGAAGGAGTTCGTCCGCGCCAACGGCATACAGCTGGGGCAGCTCCTCGTCTTCTGCTACGACGGCGCCGCCCTGCTCATCGTCACGGTGTTCGAGGACTCCGAGTGCGGGAGACACTGCTGCCAGCGCGAGGAGGAAAATGACAGCGCTGGTACGTTCCCTTGCATCCTCCCTTGCAGTATATATTATATCCTGAAGCTGACAGTGCGCAGGTGAGTTAAACAGAAGAGGAGGAGTCTCCGCCACCGGCGTTGCCAGGGAGTGGAAGCAGCAGCGACGGCGACGTCCATGGCGGCGGAGGCGGCGCCGTGCCGAGTCGGTTCACCGTGACGCTGGGGCAGTGCCACCTGGGCACCAAGAAGAAGCAGTACCTGGTGAGCTGTGGCAGTAAACGTGCGCCCCTCCTCGCATCTTTGGTTTCTAACAACTGTTTGCCGTGTCGTTTAAGCAGAACGTGCCTGTGGAGTTCAGCCAGTCGCACGGGTTCACGGAGAAGGGCAGGGTGGTGCTGCGGATGCGCGGGCAGCAGTGGACCGTCTGCCTCAAGCACAGCAACCGGCGCAAGGGTAACGCGAGGACCCGCACGGCGCTGAGATACGGGTGGAACCGGTTCCGCGTCGACAACGGCCTCCGCGTCGGCGACATCTGCTTCTTCCAGCTGGTGCATGATGCCGGCGGCGACGACCCGGTGCTCAGCGTCGAGGTGCGCAAGGCGGACGGAACCATCGTCCAGTGACGACTACTGGTTCGTGTTAATTTGTGCCTTGATGTGATGGCAAATAAGCAAGGAATTGATTGTATGATGAACCACGATCTGGATGTTGGATGAATGAACTGCTTTTATTATTTAGATATACATTATTAGCATTTGTAGCCGTCCGATCACCACTTTTAAGCGCTTTTAGTCGTCCGATTAAGAGTGAACATAACGTACGCTCGGTTCGCTCGCTACGAACGAGAGCTACCGTGACGGGCCGCTGCTCTGGCGACAATTTTGGGCGTCCACTGTTAAATTGGGGGCCTAATGGGCCTGAGCTGTCTATGTACGTGCTTTCAAAGGAGCTGGACTCTCCACGCAACCCTTGGTCTATTCGCAAGGTCGCAACCCTAGCGTGGCGGCGGACGATGGGATGATGCACGACTCCCGTGGCGACGACGCTGGGCACCGACGACACAAGGACCTCCTCTCATGCCAACCTCTCATGCCAAGACTATGGCCCTCCCGCCATTGGTGCCGCTGACCACAACACTGAGCAACGGCGTTCACCGTGACGCATGATTTGCCAGAAGGCGGCACCACTAGATCCGGCGTCCCAGACAACTGCCGTCCAAAGGCAGGGTGGACACACTCCCGAGCAGGTGTGCCTCTTTCTCTTTCTACTCTGCTCTGATCTAACACCCTTCGCTGGGGTTGCCTCCTCCTGTGCGTTCCTTCGTTTTTCTATTGTTCCCATGGGGATTGGTTGGTTGGTTAGTCCCATGGGTTCTGCAAGTGCGATTCCTTACTTGATCGTTGGAACGGCTCGGGATTCCGTTCCTTGTTTTCGATGAACACAAATTTTCAACATCAGTTCTCTGTTGACTGGCTTAAAAACCATTTGTACTTCTCTCTCTCTATATATATATATATGCGTGATAAGTCGAGGCGTTTATGAAAAGGATGAATAATTCAGCGTGGCCGTTGCCGCCGCCACTGTTGATGCCACGAGATCCCTCTATCGCCCGAGCAACGAAGACACCCCAGGCGGCAGGTACACATAGCCACGGCATCCCTGTATTGCCCGGGCCACGAAGACACCCCCGGCGGCAGGTACACATCAGACATGCGCGAGGATTCGGCATACTGCAAGAAGAAGAAGGCGATGGTGGGCGAGTCGCCGCCGCAGGCCTGGTCCAGCTTCTTTCTACGCCATATTTGAACTTCTCAGCCACGCCGTTGCTGGGTCCTATCTCGATCGAGCACCCGATCAGCAAGATACGATCGCGCGTCATATGATCTATGGGCGTGATCGAAATGCAGGCAACATCGATCACTAGCTGATGGAGTCACGGCGGGTCACCGTGTCTACAATAGCAGCAGGTGGATGTATACACCCGACCCCTCCTATACATGTACAGTCGCTGCGATTTACGGTATGGACCATGCTAACCTGCCGAGGCACTCTACAAGTACCCTATATTCCTCCAATTTCTTTCTGTTGAGATGACTCTTTAACCTTTGCACTTGAATTGTTCGATGAATTGCCGATATGCTGTGAAAAATATGATGTCAGTGTTCACCATTATCTTCAGGTACTTATCTTCCCTCCTAAATATTCAGATATTCTAACCCTGCAATCCTCGCGGCTCACAACCAGACATGGCTTTCTGATGTATCTTTTCGATTTGGTCAATGTCAATCAGATTTCAGGACGTTTGTGGGGACATATATTTCTGATACATCTATAGCAAAAAGTATGAATGTTTCTGTACTCAATTTATTACCAACTCACTACACAGTTGCAATTGGTCAACAGAATCATTTTTTATGTAAGAGTTGCTTGTTTTGATTGAAAAGTATACTGGGGATGCATCGAAGTATTTGTTTTCCTTTCTCTCTCTCCAGCGTTTTGATCTTCGATATATGTTATATATCACTCTACTTATTTCATGCATTAAAAGAAAAATGTGTCAATGGACACGTTTATAAGAAAAAAAGAATACGGGAGTGGAGATCAGTAGATCTATTTTCCTTTGCTATGCAAAGTGTATCTCCAATCTAAGGTCAGCTTTCGCTTTTAGGATGTTTTTCCTTGGCTGGTGCACCTCCTTCTAAATTGTTGCAAATTCAATATCTTCATACTAATTCACTGGTTTATGATTGGCTCCTCACTAAGTTATTACGGGTTCTATGTTTTTTCTCATGTATGTATGTATATATATATATATATATTGTGTTCATAACTGAATTCCCCATTCCATCCATTCTGACATTATGGATGAATGGATGATTAAATATACAGCTTAAACTATTACTATGACCGAAGCTGCTTCTAGATTTTGACTTCTTTTCAAATTAAATGAAATATTTTTTCCGTCAAGCTCTATCATTTATTTTGTGAGCTATTTAGGCCATCCTTCCTCTGATCAAGCCAGACATTTTATTAGTTACTTATGTGTTATGGTGCAGAGGCGTTTCTCTGAGCTTGATGACCTGAAGCGATGATTGATTCAATATAGTTCAAGCGGCACAATTACAGTACATATGCAGTCTTTTACCTTTACATATGTTTATTTTATGTGATGTCTGAACAGTCAAATATTGTCTCTTCCTGCAAGGAATAATGAAATCATATTTGCATGGTGTGGTGTTGTTGCAGCATTGAGGAAATATAACAGCTAGGAATAACAGTGTGCAACATATGAAATTAACCAGCACGCCTATAATTCCAGCTTATAGAGGCTATGATAGGGGCGTTGAAAGGTATGTCTGCTAGCTGCATCAGTTATTTTATAAATTGAGTCGGCAGAAATTTTGAGATTTGTGTTTTCTTTCTGTGGGCCATCCCTTCATCGGTCTGGCCTATTTTCACGTGTTTATTCATGGCTACCAAGTTAAGAGTATTTAGACAGTGTTTTGTTTCGTTGAGCAAATTGGTCTTGTGAATCTAAATTCGTGTGTTGGTTTGACTAATGCAGGTGCACGTACTAAAGCATACTGTCTGGTCACCTGAGCCTAATTGAGAAGTTATTTAACCTATTCATGGATCAGGCATAATATTCCATTTCAAAAATGTATTTTGTGTGCTTTTAGTTTGTTGATTTTAACAAGCTTCGGAACACAAAACTTATGTTGGGTCAGTTATTAGCTTTTTACATCTTCACAGATAACTGGTGATACCTTGCATCATGACCAGCTCGAATTGGTTGGAGGTTATTTAATTTACGTGAAACAGTTCCAACTTCAACTATATGGTTTGGGAACTACTAGGACATATGCCCGTGCGTTGCAACGGGAGAAGAAAATATCACATCCCTTTAATTGCTCTAGTCCATCAACCTCCATCTGAATCATATTTCCACAACCTAAAAAGAGGTTGCATTGTTTAGACCTGTGAGGAGAAAACATATGTTGCAATAAATCAGGATTAACCGGGTCACCGATCTATGCCCAGCTCATAATGACTGAGGAATGATGAAGACAACATGTCTCTGTCTAAAGAGCATAATTAGTACAATAAACAAACCAGCACCAGCAACCTAAATTGTACCTTCAAATTAAGACCTAGTTTAGTCTGATAGGGCAAAAATAATCAGTCAATTCATCAAACATATAGTCAATTTTCTATAAGAAAACATATAATCGTCCACTCAAGATTGAAAAATGCAGTTTGAAGGGACTGCCCAATCTACATAAATCATGTCCATGTTTTCTACATTGCCTAACTAAAACAACATTGTCTAACCGTTGGCTTAGGCATAGTCTAATAAAGATTGCAAACTGCTGATAAGTGTTGACCTATCGTTGGTTTCTTGACTGAAAAGAAATTTTCAGTCATAGTGATAGCTCCAGCCAACTACCGGAAAAGTAGTTTCATTGGATATACGCGTCCAACAGTCCAAAGAGCGACTCCATAGGAGCAGTATGGAACATCATCATAATGAAATATATCCTATTAGCAACATGAACAAAGAAGAACGGCACACACTTAAATGATGGGGAAGAAACAAGACGTATTTCTTACAGTGTGAAAAACAAATTCTTCCTTAACTGGTGCAAACACATTATCGCCACACTGGGAATAGATTTGTTGCTTTGCAGGCTAAAAATCTCCCTCCGTCCATGTAATAACATCTTATATTATGGTGTACTTTTTTGTTGGTAATAGCACATAGAGCATAATATAGACAACTAAATCAATTTAAAAAATTGGCATGTTTAATCATGTAATATCATGCATCTACACTGAAGAAAGAACAATGTCAATCTTGAAAGGGCACTTATCTTTGATAGAATTCTCCTGTTCACCTGCACCGTGAAAAGACTGGAACCACATATAAATGCCATTATCCAGTGACCGAAGGTCTCGTTGCCATTCTCCAGTGTATGATTTATCACATCCTGGATGCTTTGCATCTACGGAAGATAAAAATATTTCAACACAGAGCAAGATAAATAGCACCTAAACCAAAGTAGTAGAGGATACTCGGGTCATTTGCTTTCAGATATTTCATGTTCACTGTTGTTATCTTTGCAACTTGATAGATCTCTTGGATAAATGAGGAAGCCCACTTGTGATGCCACTGATGTTCAGCTTCTAAAGAAACTGTGGATAACAAACTTAAGTGTGTTTCCCCTACTTCAGTAGTCCTCTCATCAGGACCTGACGGCTGTTCGATTGCGCATTGACAAAGGCGTGTATGCAGTTTCTCAATCTGGCAAAATATACCACTTAATTTGGAATTTCTACCATGAATAACTACACCAAATTTGCAATTTCAGCAGCTGAGCGATGTTGGCTAAGCCCATTCTCATCGCTGGAAACTTTAACATGAGAATAACTCCATGTTCTTGCGTTGCAACGGGTGAAAGTAATCTAATATGTGCTCACTAACGTGAAAATTGTGTACACAATAATCTAATATATACAACAAAAACAATTTTCTTAATCGGCTGAGCTCAATGCCAAGCGTAAAAAGCATTTCATTGAATAACCAATTGATCCGTTGGTATCCTTATTGCCACGGCTCATCACA